AACAGATGTGGGGGTAAAACAGGTCAGCAAAATTGTGAATAGAGCATACTGACTCAAAAATATTTGTATTGGCACGTGTAAACAGGAATGTAGTCTGTGACAGGCATGACAGCAGATGCTGGCGTTGTTGAGGCCTTAATTGTAGTACTGTGTCCAGTCTTGGGTGCTGCAGTTCAAAAAAGATGTGAATGGTTTTGAGACAACACAGGGAGAAGAAATAAGCATCTTGAGAGGTTTAAAACTGTGACAGACAAGGAAGGATTGAAATGAGTGGGAATTGCTTAGTCTATAGGTAAAAAAAATTAGGGGAGACATTTTTTAAGATATGCAGGAGGCATACTGAGAGATGAGAGGCAAAACTGCTCATGTCCATTACAGTTATACTTCAGTAGCCACGAGCTTTTATTTTAACTAGTGTTCCAGCTTCCTCAATGTGAGCTGGACTAGAGAACTTACCTGGCTGAAAATTGGCAATTTTGAAAGTAGTTTCACAACAGCTTGTATCACTCTAAATCGAGTCTGCCACAGTCCCACCTCCTCTGTTATGCCAACATTGGTACTCGCATACCTGGAGGGTAAGCTGAGTGAGACAAAAACTAGGTATCCTTTGTAGGATTAGTGATGTTCAGAGGGTTCAGGCACTCACTGCCTGCACAAACAGGGTGCACGTGACTGACCCGTCAAAGCAACCAGCTCTCAAACTGCCCTTGATCACATTTGCTAAAAAAAATGACTGTACCTCAGAGGGTTTTGGTCCTATCAACACAGGAGGACTGCTGCTCATGTGACTCAATTTTTTTTTTCCTGCCAGAAATACAGGGGAAACAGTGGGTAGTATTTTCGAACATAATAGTCACATTAACACCATTAGTTGTATTTTTTGGGGAAAAAACCCCAAACCCAACCGCAAAACCCCCACCAAACACCAAGCCATCAGGTAAATAAATTTGAACAAAATTTATGATATTTAACAATACCATCTACAAGCACTCGTTGTGTTGGCCGCTACGCACATAAACACACCTAAAAAAAAAAGAAAAAAAGGAGCAAAATGATTCAGACAGCAATCGCGCACTGGCTAATGAAACCCAAGGGTAAGGGGTGCAGGGCTGCAGAAACCCTGCCGCCGAGAAGCCAGCCACTGCCTGCCGGCTCCCATTACGGAGCAAAACAAGGAAACGGCGGGCCCTGCCTGAGGCGGTTCGGTCCCTCCGGCGGCCCCGCGGCCTCTCCCACCGCCAGGCCGACCCCTCCCGCCCGCGGCCTTCCCCGGGAAGGGGGCTCTGGACCCCCTTACGAGGGCCGGGCGCGGCGGGACAGCGGTTTTACCTCAGCATTAGCAGGGTTTT